CAATCATTGAGCGTGACCTTGAAGTACTATCTAGTTATTATTAGTTTCTGTGCCAGCTGTACATTAAATCGCATCTAGAATTTTTTTATTTGTAAATTTTTCTGCTTAAAAGTGTCCGAAAACGCGAAGTATTGTTAATTATACATGTTAGTTAATAACAAAAGCTAAAAATTCTTGGCTTAACTCCACTCAAAGAACGCATTGCAATAAAAAATTGCTGATCAATTACAATTAAAATTAAAACAGTGAAAATTGTTTCTTTAAGGTTCTCATTCCTCTGGTTGAAAGATCAAGATCCGGTAACATGTACAACTACACATTGTACAACATGTACAACTACACATTGTACAACATGTACAACTACACATTGTACAACATGTACAACTACACATTGTAAACAATGTACAACTACACAACTACACATTGTACAACATGTACAATTAACTACGTTTATTAACTAATTGTTCACTGTGGAATACGCAACCATTTAAAAAACTTTATTCCATACAAAGTATTTTTGGATACACGACACCATATTAAAGAGTTTAATGCTTCATTTATATTCTAAGTTTCATCATAAAGACATTTGTTGAGCAACTCATCTTGTAGGTTTTGAATATTAGAAAGAATCATAGTCTCAATCAATGGTAAAATCAATACAGATAAATCAATATTTTTCTTGCTTTTATTCCAGTATTTGCACCGTTTTTTAGTTGTATTTTTAAGTCAAAATTAGTGTCGATAATCGTTATCAGAAAAGCTTGCAAAATAAAGGAGTACGGCATAAACTCTTTTTTTCTTTTTTTTTTTGTTTCAATTTGATTTAGAAATAAAATTTCTAAATCAAATTATTTAATCGTGTGCCCAATTTTTTATTACGTAACCCACACATTCCTGTTTTTCTAGAAATTTTTTCTAGTTTTACTTTTAATTCATAATACGTATTAGCAGACAAAAATTGTTCAAAGATGATATACTTCAATCACGAAGATATTCAGTATGTAACTACTCTTTTGTACAGATCGTTTGAAAATATTTACTACTATTCATTAGATTTGATTGATCAAAAAGATTTATGATGAACAATCATGTTTTAAAGGGAACATTCGTGTTTCCAGAAATTAAACTTTAGCAAAGGTTTCCTCCTTTCCACATCTTTTAGCAGTACTTTAAATATACTTCTACATCAACCCACTTTCCACCAGATAAAGCAGTAACAACCTTATTCATTGACGCATGCCTACATTTTCGCCATAAACCTTCAATCAAAACATCTATTTTTAATGGTTTATTGGTCGTTTAAACATTTCCAAGGTCAGTTGCAACCTATATCGTACCTGTATCAAACGTTATCTTACTTTTTCTGTTTTGCTTTTAGATAAATTCCTTGGTGAAGTGTGAGTACATGTGATTAGTCTCACACAGAGTGCATATCGAGTAAATGAGAAAAACTCATTTTGTCAACCAATAGAAGAAAACAATAATACTGACAGACTGTTTTTGAAATCAAATTATTTAATTTAGGAAAATTAGTTTAAACAAAATAATTACTAACTTGTTTATCAAGACTACTTTCAATACTATAGACAGTACCTAGTTTCTTTTCACTCGAACTAGATGGACCACCCTATGAAAGTTGATCCATCTATAAAGTTAAAGGCTGAGCAGTAGAATAATTTTTATTTGTATGGCATCCATTCAATTTTCTTTTAATTTATCTATGTAATTTTTTTTTACTAGGCATCTTCACAAAAAAAAAAAAGCAAATAAAAAAATAAGCAAAAAAACAAATTACAAATAAAAATAAGAAACAATGAAGTTCGAACAATCATCTCACTATTTTCATTTTTTTTTTTATTAATTTTGATCATCTCATCATCCATCAGACTACTATTTATTTTGATCACCTACATTATCTATCAGACTATTCGAAGGCTCTTAAAGCGGATTTTATTACATATTTGTATTTTTAGGGTAAGTAATAATAATGTTACCATATTTTTTTTTTAAATTTATATAGTTACATTTATTTGTTTATCTTTATAGGATTAGTTATTAGAAAATAGAACTCTTGGTTGTCACTTAATAATAATAACAACAATTTGTATTTTTTTCCTTTTTTCTTTTTACATTTGTTTTCTTTGTTTTTATATATTTTATTACAAGGTAAGGGATTTAATGTTTTGGTTATTTTATAAGCTTTCTCTTGGGAGTTACTTTAGCATATTTTAAACTAAAGAGTGAATATTAGTTATTTCTTGGGTGTTAATTTTGCATATTTCAAACTATGGAGTGAACATTAGTTTTCTCTTGGGTGTTACTTTTGCATACTTTAAACATAGGGCGAACATTAGTTTTCTCTGAGATGTTACTTTTGCATATTTTAAAGTATAAGGTGAATGTTAGTTTTCACTTAGGTGTTATATTTGAATATTTTAAGCTACAGAGTGAAGTTCTTTATATATAGGTTGGAAGAAATTCCATACTGGTCTAGCTTTCTTATAATACATAAAAAGGTGTAATTATTTCGGTTAAAAGATTTGTATGCCACGTCTATTTTGCCTCTATTTCTCTTCAAAACTAAAATTTTTTTGTGTTTTGGTAGGCGATTGTGTAAAATCCTCCTTGTTTGCATTATGAACAAGTCAGAAAACCAATTCTGAATGGTTCTTAATGCAAACTGTGCAAATCACTTCACCCAAACTTTTCCTCCATTGGAGTACTTTCTAAACCTTCCGTTCCATATTGCTTGAGTTTTTGTAAAATTTGTATTTCCGTTATTTTTATGTTTTACTCTTAATCTCAAAGCTTCACTTTTAAGCCTGTATTATGTTTTAAAAGTAGAAGAGTGGGGAAGCATAGTAAGCGAAACATATGATTTATTACGGAGCTTAGCTTTGTATGTGATAATTTAGGCAAGGGCATGACTTTATTAGAACTATAATACCAAAGCAATACTCCATAATTGCAAAGGAAAGTAAAATTATTTTATAAAAATTATTCAATTGCACTAAAGTTAATTTTTTCAACTATTTTTGATAAACTTCAATATTTTTGATAAACTTCGCTATATTTAATAAATTAAACATTTATTCAAATAATTGTGGGTTTTAAAGAATAAATGAGGCTTCCCAGTAAGCACAAGACGCATTTTAGACACTTAAAGACGTCTAAAACTAGTCTAGGTAAAGACGCACTTTTATAGACGTTTTGAAGACATCTTTTAGACGTCTTTTATAAATGCGTTTTTAAAATGACGTTTAAAAGGCGTCTTTTTAAAAAATAATAAGACGTCTAGAAGACGTCAATTTTTAAGACATCTTCTAGACGTCTTTTATAAAGGCGTTTTTAAAATGACGTTTAAAATGCGTCTTTTTAAAGTTTAAAAAGACGTTTAAAAGACGCATAATAAATAGTCTAAAAGACGCATTAAAAGACGTCTAGATCAAGGCTAAAAGACGTCTTTTCTGAGACCTGTTTATAAATATGTCATTATGACTTCTTTTTGACGGCTTTGTCATTACGCGTTAAGTAGATGTTGTATATTCAAAGTAAAAACATAGTTTTTATTATTTTCAATAATTTGTTTAAGTTTTAAGTGTAAATTACTTTAAATTAAATTACTTTTTTACACAATTGCTAAAATTGTTGTCACAGGAATCACTAAAATAATTGCTATAATATTAATATATCTTTTTTTTATTAATAATTATTTTGCTTTTTTAATAGATAGTTGATTGATCATGATAATAAGTGAAAATGGCAAGAATAATATATAAGTTAAATATCAGTATTTTTAGTTTTTATACACCCACAAGCCATATAATAAGTCAAGTATGCGGTCAAAAATTAGCTCTCATTTCATATGATAAATTTCATTATAACTAAAAATAAGTTATAAACACTGTTATAATATATATATTCGTTGTTTTTTATTATTTTCATCTTTGATGCATCAACCGCTGGTGGTGATTACAGCAACATTATTTTGATTGCTGGTTCCTATGTATTTCTTGTATATACGAAATTATAACAATATATGATTTTATAAATACAATGAATATATACCACATACTACGCGAAAATGTTACGTCATGTACTTAAATTCATTTTGAAAAAAACGTCTAAAATACGTCTAAAACGCGTTTTTATAAAGACGTCTTCATTTAGACATCTTTTAGCCTTATGATCTAGACGTCTACAAGTGCGCCTTTTAGACCTTCTTAAAGACATCTTTAAAACGTCTTTTAAACGTCTTTGTGCTTACTGGGTTTTTTGAAGTATTCATAGATTCATTTTTATGTATAAACGGATCCAAGAGAATACCTTTGATCAAAAGTTCCTGCAAATTTTGTTTTATGTAAACATTAAAAGTGAATCCTGGAAATCCCATGAAACCTTTTAAATACGCATCCCCAGTGGGCACCGAACCAAAAAAAGACGTCTTTTGAACGTTCAAAAGACGTCAAAAACGTTCAAAAGACGTTCAAAAGATGTCCAAAACGTGTATAAGACGTTTAAAAGACGTCTAATTTACGTCCGTGTCCACTGGGTCTGCACTTTGTTCTATATTTTGAGAAATCAGAAAAACCTGACGTATTTTAAGTTGGTATTACATATACAAAATTAAAAAAAAAAGTGCTTTTTCTTAAAGCAACCTTCACATAAACTTTGTGCATTTCTCTTTTAACAAACGGTGAAATTTTCCTAAAATTCAACAAAATAAACACGCATTGTATCAAAAAGTCTTCAAAAACATAATTTTTTATAATATAATTCGTTATATATAATTAAATTTTCAAATAAATATCATTTATAAACATATAGAAGTTTTTTTAATCTAATAAACTAGAAAGCATTTATTCTAAAAAAGGTTCTTTTGCGCGGCTAAAAATGACTGTTTTGATGAAAATAACTTCTAAAGGACGTTTAGTAGACAATCTTAAAGTTTATTTTTATTTTTTTTTTAATTTATCAAGAAACAAATTATTATCTTTTAGAAATACAGAGATCGAAAAACTTAACAATTCAGAAACATACGAATCATCATCGCTTTACAAACGCCAACGAAAAACATGGTCTAATATATGGTGTCCAATATCAATTGCAGCATTTAATTGTTCTGACGATGATGAAAAAAAAGAAGTTGATTGTGAAAATCTTTATCAAAAAATTTCAGATATTGAAGTTAAAGAACTTTACAGTAAAAAGAAGAATGAAAATAAAAAGGCGTTTCTAAGTCAAAGTGACTTATGTGAAAGTGAAAATATATCAAACAATTTTCAAGAAATACCGGACCTTGTATCTAGTGAACAACAAAAGTACAAAAGATATAAAAAACAGGAAAACAAAAACATTGAACAAAACTGTTTAAATAACTCTCTAAACCCGAAACACCTTTTTAACGACATACGATACATTGAGGATGAATATAACAATCATATGTGTCAGGAAAAAGATCGTTTTTTGCATATGAACAAACGTTTTTGTAAAAATATTGATCTTATGCCTGTTTTAAATGAAAAGAAATGGTTTGTACCCTATTGAAAAAGAAGCATCAGAAAGTGTTGGAACTTTTCAAAAGTGTTTGAACCATTTAAAATAATTAGAACGTATTCAATAAAAGCTGTTAGTAAAGTTAAACTTGTTGATACTAATTATAAAGTTAAAATCGTTGATACAAATTAAAAAGTTAAACTCGTTGATACAAATAAAATAGATACAGTTAATAGAAAAGTTAAACTCGTTGATACAAATAAAAAGATAACATCGTTGATACAAATTAAAAAGAAATTTGGAATATTTAATACAAAATTAAAAGCGTATCTTTTTTATTTGTATATAAAATGTTTATCTTGTTGACGCTTATCCATTTTAATAAAGTTATTTATAGGATATTAAAAAATTTAATTGAAATAAAGTAATTGCTTAGATTATGAAAAGGAAACATTTGAAGTTTACTTTTTACCTTTTTTTTTAGTTCAATTTGAAACAAAATGATCGTTGCAAGTGTGTTGGGTTTAGGGTGTTGGGTTTTGGGTGTTGGGTTTTGGGTGTTGGGTTTTAGGGTTATTTACTTAATTTAAAAATATTAAAACAACAAATATTATTACAACTCTCCCACTTTTTTTTTTTTTTTTTTTAACTAAAAGAGTCATTAAATCAATAAATTTTTATTTGTTAAATTATTTTTTATTGCTTAAACAAATTGTTAACAACATATTAATTATCCATGATTCAATTAACAATACTTATATAACAAAGTGTGCAATTTAGGGCAATGAATTGCAGAAGTAAATAGCTAGCTCAAGATTAAAATCTTGTTAAAGTAAATGTAAACTCAAAAAGAGAACTAAAAGATACTTGTTTTATTGAAACTATAATTTATTGCTGTTATTATTAGTATATTGTTGTACTAACATTATTGTTATGAGTAAAAAATCCACTTCATTAAAAAAAATATTGTAGTTTTAAACTTAAACAAAATAATTTTGAAGTTGTATAGCAGTTTCCGTATCATATTTCATCATATTTTATTGTGTTTCGTATCATATTTTTTAAATTTAATTATACTAAAAAAAACAACCTACTAAACCTCTTTAAGTTAATGGAAAAATTAAATCGTTAAGTTCCAATTCGTTTAATTAACAATACCAATATCTTACAAAGTTTGCAATTTAATGTATTATTCGTATCATTTTTTATGTGAAAATATAAACTCGGATCTAGAAGTTATAGTTGGTCAATTAAATGATGGCCTAATATGTCTTAACACTGAAAAAACTGAACTAAATTTTTTTTCATCTCCAAAAAAAAATAATTTCTATTTACCCAGCAAACATTGTTTTAGTGGATTTGCAATGAACCTATAAAGGCATTTTTTAGCGGTTCATTGGAGTTTTACTCATTGGTTACTTGGTAGACCATTAGTGGCAAGCCGATAACTTTCCGACATGTTTATAGTGACTAGTCATCAGCCAACCACTTTCGGCGGCTGCCACTAATGGTTCACAAAGTAACCCATGAACAAAACTATAGCGGTCCGCTCAAAATGCTTATGTAAGTCTATTAGAACTCCGCTATAGAATATTTGCTGGGTAAACGTTGAAATAAAAATCAAAAGCTTGAAATTCTTGAGTCTGACTAGAAAGGCTTCCACCTGGTTTGTCAGTATCACATATATATATACAAGAATACTAATTACTTCATAAAAATCTTTTTAGCGTAACATTAGGTCCTGAAAATACTAGTTTTAGTGCAACATTAGGTCCTGAAAATTCTAATTCAGAGATTTCCTTTAAACAACTAATAACTGATGTTAATATTTTTAAAAGAAAAATCTAAAAGTGTATTGGGTAAAATCATAAGCGGCATATCACGCTTGAAGTTTTTTATTTTATACTTCGTAAAGCGTTTTTCCACGTTATAACTAAGCTTTGTTTTTCATAGGGGTCGATAATCTATAAAATATGGATAAGTTTATAGAAGCCATAACGAAGTTTTTTTGAGTGATTGAATAAAACTTAAAACTTAATTCTTAACGTTTTTATTTCTAAGTAATAAAATCCAACAATAAAACCAAATGTATAAACAAAAATATTTTTTGTGAAGCAAATTGAAACATGATACGTAAAAGTACAACAAGTCATAAATACATTTGAGCTTTTGTAAGCTTTCATTTATAACACAAACTTTTTTGTAAGACTACCTCACAAAAATTTGTGAGAGTACCTCACAAGCATCAACTTTGCCTAGGCAAAACTTTGTCATTTAACAACTTTTAGTCAACTTTGTATTTAAACACTTCAGCATTTTGTATTTTTAAAGTTATGAATATTGCTACCGATTTAGACTTATTTTAAATGACAGAACATATTAGTTTTCAATATTTTACTATCTTTTCAATTTAATTAATCAAAATAATTTGTATTAGTTTCAACTAAATATATCGAAAAAAGGTTGTTTGAAAAAAATAATAAAAAGTATAAAACAAATAAAAATCACTTTACAATGTCATATTTAAAAGTACTAGACAACCAATCACTTCGTTGCTGATTAGCATCTGTTTTAGTTTTTTCGTGGAACACAACATGGTTATTAGTATCCACTGTAATCACCGTACTAGTTCTAAAGATGAATGAATTTTATTTAAGTTGATAAATTTTAAAATAAGAAAGAATTTTAAAATAAGAAAGACTTAATTGAAGCTTTAATGTTTACCTTGTTCCTAACATGTTTAAATTTTCGAAAGGAGCAGTTGTAGGATCTATATATATTGATGAACCCCATTCGTCAAAAGGCTCCTGGCAGAGATCTGTATTTCTAAAGGTTATTAAACAACTACAACAATTAGATTTTCTGTTAATCTTTTATAGGACTTTGAAAAATGATTAACATAAAGTAAAAAAAACAAAAGGGTACTTAGTAGTATCAGCTAATAATGTGAACAACTTTTCGTGAATGTTTTCAATTTCTTTCTCGCCATTAAACAAATCCTTGAATTTATTTAAGCTGTTCAAGGCCTTTAAACATGATTTATCTAACGAATAATTAGTCAAGCATAAGTAACCTAAAACAAATTAAAATTTTAAAGCAACTTGAACTTAAGCTTTAAAAAAAAACATTTAAAAAATAGAACAAGAAAATTTAAATAAACGTTTGTTTGTTGTTGGTTGTTTTTATTTTTATAATTTTTATAGTCTGTTTTCTTTTTTTAGAAGAAGTTAGTACTAAAATGACTAATAAAGTTTTTTTTTTTTAATTAGAACTGTGCAATTTCTTTTTGGTTCCGTTTTGTGTTAAAAAATTTTAAGCAGGTTTTGTTTTATTTTTTATATATTTGTATATATTTTTTATATTAATTGCTTTTTAGTTGCTTCAACTTTAAACATTTTTAGACAAATTTTTTGATTTGAGAAGAAGAAAAAGAATAACAAAGTGTAAAAGTAAAAAATTATTGTAAAATAAAATAAAACCTTTTTGCAAAGTACAAAAGTTGCTTTCTGTACTAGTATAGATTAAATCACTGTCAATTGATCCAACAACCAAATTGAATGGACGAAACTCGTTTTTTATTTTCCTAAGCCTGATAAATAATCCGATGGGTCCACTTCATTTCTTAAAAAATCAGCAACAAGCTGTCCACGACTTTTCAGCGCAGAATCTGTTACCCCTTTAGAATTAATATTTGTCAAAAAGCTCACACTTCCTGAACGTGTTATGCCCAACCTTCATGTCCTTTAGCCAAATCCTGACCTGCAAATGCACAACATTATTTTTTGTTGTCGTAACAGAAATTTTTAAAATGACTGTAAATAATTTATGAAACAAATGTTGATATCAAAAAAATTGAAACTTGGAATGAACAGTGTTTTAAATCTGCTAGAACTTGTGAATAACTTTCTTCCCAAAACGAAGCTGGTTTTGCAGGTTTTGAGAAGTACTCATCTCTATTAGCAGCTAATATAAACTTATAATTTGGATGTGAAGCATCGTGCCGTAAAAATATAATGCACATGCTAAAAGTAATTTATAAAATAAAATTAAAAAAAGTGCAAAAACAATAACAATTTTATAGAATGTTTTCAAAAAACATCAAAAGTCTTTTTTCGATAAAAATATTTAAAAAGTAAAATAACAACTGTAACTTGAAAATCATCTTCTTCGGTTGTGCAGTTTAATTTATTTGTTTAAGAAACAAACATATAACTTTGCGTACTCTTGTTCCTTGCTTAAGTTTCTTGTCTTGAATCTCCATCATATTTTTTTCATACTCATTTATGCATATAAAATTTTTTCTTTCTCAAAGATGAAAATATTTCAATCTCATTAAATATTTTTATCTTTATCACAACTATTAACATCAGGTAGAATATCTTCAACTAATATGAAGTAGAATATTTTCTACTTCTAAGATGATGACGTCGGAAAACGTGCTAAAATTAAAATTCTAATTAAATTGTTTAAGTGTTGGACCACCATATTTACTTGGTCCTTATCTAGTTTTTAATTTTTTTAACTCATGACTTATTATTTTAAAGTTTACATCAACCGCTCCTACATCCAGGACCGGTTTAAATACATCTTGGCGAACCTGTATTTTAGACCTTTAAAACCTTCGTTACCTCTTAGTATTCAATTTTATCGGAAGTTTAAAATAACTAAACTTTTTTGATTGTTGCGTTACATTTCAAACGCAATTTTCTTCAGTACTTAAGCACGAACCGCACGTTGTTTATTACACATAAACACGTTGTTTGAGGAAAAATTTAGTGGCCTTTATAATTTAGTGACCTCTGTAAAAAAATAATTAGAATAGGTTTAAAACATCTTTCTTTGGCATTTTAAGATCGCGTATGCAAAGATGGTATCTTTAACGTCGATGGTATCAGGTTATCTATTTAAACAATAAAAAGGTATAAAAGACTTATACTTTTAAAAATAAAAAATATATGGACGTGTGTACATGATACACGTCCACTTAGCAACCCATTATTTGATTATTTGTTAAAGAATTTCTTATCGAGATTATCAATATCATTTTTTTATTTATTTGATTCAGACAACGGGTATATATTTAAAATAAACATAATCAATTAACAATACTGTTTGTGGCATTGCTAATGGCGCAGGCAACAATCTGA